GAAATATCTGTATTCTACGTCAATCAAGCTTGCACTTCGAGCACTTTATCACTCGAATATTATTTTAAATCCTTTTCAACAGTAAAAATAAGAAAAAAGCAGAAATATAAGATTTGTGGCAAGGTACCCAACTCAAATGTTTTCAAACAAAACAGTCCTTCGATATTTATTCGATTCACTCTCCCTCTCCCTCTCCCTCTCCCTCTCTCCCTCTCTCTCTGCCTTTCTTGCAATGCGTTCATTCAAGTGTTGCCTTGTTGAAAAAATGAAAATTTAATTAAATTTAGACAAAATATTTCGGAAAAACATCCTGTAGCTATTGCACAAGCTAACATTGGGGATCCACAAAGATTTTGCGCGCAATGCACAATTCTGTTTTTAGACATTTCCCTGGCGATTATTAATGTACGCATATCATTTATTGGTCAAACTATCGGTTTTCAATCTTCAAATTCTCGACAAGTAGAACATATGCAGTACCAGCAGCCTTCTTATTTGTGTTGGACTGTTATCAATTCACTGGGCTTATTGAAATTTTTGTCGTATCCGTATGGCCAGTTTGCTCTCTTGGCTGTTCTATATTACAATTTAATCAAATATGCCATGCTGGCTGCTCAATTCGAACATTTTTCGAACCGTTATTGGCTGGCTATACACACAGGTGAATTAGAAAAAGCCGTGTCATATTGACACTGAGCTCGCTGCATCCTGACATGACTTTCACGCTGAATGTTTCTCGAATCGTTGCCAAACATTATGTTCGTCTCTCGTATTCCATCTAGTAAGTGTACAATTGATCCTCCGAAACTTGATATATAAGATACCACAACCCCCCCCCCACGGGGCCCCACCAAATACACAAATGCATATTTCATGTTGTTGATGTTTTTGATGACGAAATGCAAATAAACTCAATTTCAACCATAAGACAAATCTTAATCTCTTCCTCTCTCATGAGGAAATAATCTCACCAAAAACACTGATAATTTTCATCTGTACAGGCAAACAAACAAATTACTACATACGTATTTTATAAATATGAGTAGTATCTCATTAATGTAGTGATCGAAATTTTCCTCCGTAGAAAACCATTCATATCAAACAGAAACTTCTAAGAAATAAATCACAAACATTCACAAAAACAAAACCTACATACAGTGGCAAGTCCACATTTACCCTCGAAGAGATTGCACGTCACGAAAATGGAACAACACAAAATGTCAAAGACAAAATAAAAACACACAACAGAAAAAGCAAGCAACAACAACAAAAATCCACAGTGTAATAAAATAATATAAATAGAACTCTTCTTTTGTACAGCAATTTCTCTAGTGATGATAACATATATTTTTATCGGTTAATTTTTAGTGTATTTTAAGCACTCAAAAAAAAAAGAAAGGAAGAAAAAACAAGAAGAAGAAACAACAACAGCATAGAACTAACAAGAAACAAATTGAAAATATTTTTTTAGTAAATTAACAATATTTGAAGAGAAAACTCAGTCAAATTCTCACACAAAAGTGAAACGAATAAAAGATGTCCAAATCGTTAATTAAAGTTTAAAATTTACAAGAAATTTAATGTAATTGCGGGAGAGATTCGTTAACAATGGGGATTATTTGAAACAAAACAAAAACTGACATAACGCAAAATGTTTTATCTCAAATTATAACTCACAACCACAAGGAATGAAGGAATGAAAGGATAACAACAACTCAAATGGAAAACACACACACACACACACACACAGCAACTCGATTCGATTCAATTTGATCAAATAAACTAAGAATATGATAATTTTGCGGGTATTAATATTAATATTAATAATAATGATCTAACTCAGGAGCAAGTGCAGTCGGCATTTTGCTCGAAAGGTGCCGAGCGATATTCCAGTTGTGCGCGCCTCTGTCATTAATAACAAAATATTGAATTACTATATGTGTAATATTTAAAAGAAATTTACAAAGAACAAACCAAACGCGTATTTTTCAAAGATAAATTGACCCATTCTTGGTTTTTCTTCTCTGTTAAAAAATGACCTCTCGATAGTAAAGTTTTAAGACGAAAACAGTGTCGATAGTGGACAGCATCAGCTCCTCAAATAATTAAAAAGTCGCTTCGTCTGGAAAATTATTTGAATGCTAATTGAACTCACTGTGAAAGAAACACACTGCAATTAAAAATGCGTGCTAAATGGAACACATGCCAACAGTTTTTAAAAATCGAAAGCAAAAACATAAAATTTTGATTGTCAAATAATGTTGAGTAAACTGCTGGCAGTTTACGAAAGAACGAAACACAAAAAAAAAAGACAAACTAAAGTTACCACCGTCACCACAGAAAAATACATTCGATCTGAGCTCTTCAACAACAATCCGATGAATTTCCGTGATCAAAATGTGCTTCGTTTTGTTTCATTATTTTTTCATTGTTATTTTATTTTTTGTATTTATTTCTCTCATTATACACACAACACGTCGTTCTATAGCCGAATAGACAAACCAAATCTAGTGAATGAAAAACAAAAACTAAAATTGTATAAGATATAACTCCTTCTTGAACTCTCTAAAAGACGAGACTATAATAATAATTTAATGACAAGAGGAAGAAGAAAATAAAACGAAATGAATTACAAATAGCAACATAATTACTATGTTTTGGTAGGTTTTATATGAAAATATACAATTAGATATTTATTCTCTGGACGCATGTTGTGAACAGATTATGAAATGAGCAAAGTAAGACACCAGCACTCCTAAAAAAAAGGAACAGAAAAAACAATTCAAATCGCACAGACACGCTCATACACGCTAACGAGAACGCATTAATAATAATTTATAAAACCAAAATGAAATATGCCTATTATTTGTTGATTGTTGGGAGAAAAAAAGTTGATGAAAATTTAGTGAAAATGAATAAATGTTGTGTGTAAGGAATTCGTTTGTCACTATATGCTCAAATATAAAGCGATGCTATTGTACCTTAAATCGTTTCTTTTTCATTATATGTGGAGAATATCATTTCAACGCACAAAAAGTTGTATTAATCAAATATATTTCATCATTTGAATATATATTTTCTTTGAATCGAGTCTACGGAAGAGACAGAAAATCCCTACCAATGAAGAACAAAATATAATCCAAATCGCTCTACATTTAGGCCTATAGTGATATATCTGAAAAATTGTGTGCTATCGGTAAATGTTCTAGACCAAAAGGAAACTATTTTTGTTTTTCAAACTCCTTTGTTGCTACTCTTTCACTGCTGGTTGTTTTGTTTTATTCATAAACGGCGAAACTTTTGGGTGACAGTTGTATTTTTTTTTTTCTTCTGAGTAACCAGAACAATGTATGCATCGAAACTGATATTCATTTCGATAATTGGATCAAAACTATTATTATTTTGCAACAAAAAAGAAAGAAAATTTACTTTGGAAGTTATGAACTTTACAGAACAAGTAGTGGCAACAAATAAATAACAACAGTACACAGAGTACAACACACATGAATCAATAATTTACTAAGATTTCTTTGTACCTGGCGTTTTTTTTTTAACATAAAAACGTATACAGAATGTGCACAATTTTCAACCGTCATGCTTTCAAAATATTTACAACCAATTTTGTATGCTAACATTCATGTTTGTTACCAACACACAATGTAGCAATAAACATAGCATTCGATGCGAGTTAAATGTCATGTAAAACAGCTTACATTGATGTAAGATTGACACAAAAGTCATTTCCTTCAATTTCGTCGGTAAACATTTGCGCCAATATGTCATCCAAGTTCGTTTGTAGCCAGGAACGATTTTTTCCAACGTTCATAATCAATGATGTAATAATAAGCGAAGTTAACTTCATCGTGGTCGACAAAAATTTGAATCGTTTAGCCCACTTCAACTACAAAACTAACAAAACTAACAAAGAGGTAATTTTTATCACGATATTTGCAAAACTTTTGACATTTTTATAATTCCATTTTTTTCTTTACAATATAATAATATTGAATTAATTTCCCATGTAGGCTAACCGAATCACAAACTCATATTATACCGAGCTTGGATAATATTTCTTTATTATTGCAACATTTTGCTGCTATATGCTCCATTATTTCAAAGGTAAAAATGAATAAAATACTTCTAAGCTTGATTTTTTTAAACTTATAATCATACATAGGACTACATACTATGTGGCATACGAATTGCGATCGATGAAAAACAGAACACCCAACAATATTTGAGGTAAGTATATTAATACAATAGTAAATATAGAAAGTAATTACAATATTCTAATTTTACTAACTTTTTAAATGTCTGATGTTTTTATGAAAGATTTTTTTTCACTCTACAGTTCATACAAAAATGGCAGAAATCATCATTCTTTCTTTTCTTTTTTTCAATTGTCTATTTACAGTTAAAAATTGCAAATTGTTTCACCAGGCTTAGATAAGTGACGCATTAAAAATCCAGAGATGTAATATCTCTTTAAAAATATCAATCGCAGTCTACTCCTTTAGCACAATTCTACCAAACTGTATGTTATTTATTTAAAAAAAAAAAAAAAAAACGCCCGGTACATTAATACACTATTATGAATGTCCAAACTAAAACCAACCAAAAAATATATATGTATTTGTTTGTTAGTATTTAACAGATGAGAAAGTATATGTGAAAGAGAAGAATTTGTCAAAAAGCTGAGAAAAGGACAAAAAAAATAAATAAATAGGTGACACACACTTAACAAATATGATTTAGATTGAAATAGTTTAGGTTTAACAACAATTGAGGCAAATAATCAATGCGAATAAGTGAAATGGCGTGAAGAGCAACTGAAAAGTGAAATAATTATCATCTTCGGTAAACAAAAAATAAACAAGATTTTTACTCCTTTTCTAGACATGTTTTCTTTTGTACATTTGATCGTTTTGTATTAGAAAAATTGAACAAAAAGAAGAAAAAAAAAAAAAACGCAAATTCATATTAAACATGGATCCATAATTCGTATCGCATAATCACGCGTAGAATATCCAATAAAAAAAAATTCTGCACCTCAACGTTCTCACTACTTTTATTTTATAGATGATCTGTACTAAGAGAGACGAATAAAAGTAAGGCCAAAGATATGTTCCACCGCGACAACCCCATCGTGTGAATTAAGGCAATTAAATAATTTTTGATGAGATCCAAACACCAATAATATGAGCACTACACTGTTAGAAATAATCGTAAAATGTTGTAAAATATGAAATTCATGGTTTTCTGGTAAAATGTAACAGAAATTATGTAAATTTACCCTTGTATTGGTTACACAGTTTCTGTCAAATTCGCACATTTTAACGGAAGACCGTGATATTTCACCAGATTTTACGGGATAGCTTCACGAGTATTTCTAATAGTGTACTTGATATACTACGAGAGTCTTCATTTGATAATAAAACACAATTCAGGATGTATAAAAAAATCAATCACAAAACAGCTGCAAATTAAAAAAAAAACACACACACACACAAAAAGCCTAAATTCAGGAGCATCCACAACACATACATATATGATATTGAAATATACTCCCACCAATTTCTTTTTTATTCATTCAACTTCTCCGGTTTATATTTATATTCTGTTTGGTCAATTGTTCTATATGACGAAAAAGCCGACTGAAGTTTTTTTTACTTTTACGCAAACTTTGTTTGCTAGATAAAGTATTGGTTTTACTAGCCAAAATTTCATGACTCCTTCTCTTTCCGACCACAAAAACTCCACGAAAGACTTCAAATAGCGCATAACTGTAAACTAGGCAATGTAGATGGGAACAAATCCTATCGATCAAGACCTATCTGCCCCCACAAATATGTTGTTTACTAAGAAAAATTTGCAAAAATACGATGTTTGTATGGTTTCGTTTGCGTGAGCGTGCCCTTTTTTGTCCAAACGATAATTCAAAAAATTGACGAGATAATTGAGATCCACCAACGCTAAAAGTTTTGTATCCAAAAAACTTAGTTTAAGTTTGAAGATGAGCCATATCCGGTGTGACCTTGGGGAAAAAAACCTTGAAAAAATGGTACATTTGTATGGGAAGTACTCGAAAGAAGCCTTTTTCAGGGTTTTGGTCAAGGAAAACTGGTATTATTTTGCAAAATTAATGATCTGTGAACAACCAAACACCTATTTCCCCAACAATTTGATCCGAAATCGACATTTTTTAAAACTTGTTTTTGGATCCGTTTACTATTTTTTTTCTTCAAGTTATACGATCGTTCGACACAACGAATTTGAAAACATTTCTTGGCACAATGATATGCCAGTTACTTTGTGTTGACTACCATACTTTTTTGCTAGTTGTCTATCGGTTATCTGATACATTGCTGTTGCCAACAACGATCCGAAAGCCCTTTGTTCCACGCAAGCACTTCGTATCGGGCGGTAATTGTTGATACATACCACTCGGTATTACATGATAATGTGTGGTGTTCATCAGAGTAGTGTTAAGTAACACCTCCGTTGACGTACAATGCATGACGGCCAGTAGTTTCAAATATATATGCGTTTCGAAATCAAAATATACGTATATAAGTTGGTTAGTTCGTCGCCTAGCGAATTATAATTTCAATCAAAATGAAAAACTCAAAATGCAAGAAACCGTATGAGAACGAGCGTAGCAACACTAAGTTCATTCACAAATGCCGGTCTTTGTCTCGTTTCGATTCGATATTGACCGATAGTGATAGACCAATACTATACCAATCCACCAATACACAAAATTTACTGTGCAATAAAACGTTGTTTCGTCCCCCAGGTCTCAAAATCCTGAATTCCAAATACGTCTCTTATATCCAAGGCTTTGCGATAGCATAGCTTAGCATACAGTATATTGAATGCTGCTTAATATACCAGCATATCGCGCACACACACAGCTGCCACACACACATACTTCTCTCGCGCGCAAACGGTTGCGTACACAGACATCGCAATCAACTAAAACACAAATTCTGCTGTGTATGCAACCGTTTCGAGCGACAGAAGTGTGTGCGATAGCTGTGTGTATGTGATATGCTGGTATACTTGACAGAGCATTAAATATACTGCGTAGCCTTGGTTTTATCTTGGTCATAGTTCGTACCTACCAAATCCATTTGGATACTTTGCCCAAAAGGTCCGACTGCGATTAATATGACCGTCCAAAATCACGATTTTGAGCTGGGAACGAAACAGTGTTATCTATCACAGTGAATATGTTTCCCTGATACTCACACACAGTAAACCCGTGTTCTGTATTGTTGTGACTTATGGAATGATAGCTATATAGGTGAAACAGATAACTGTTGCATTCATTCATACGGACAATATGTTGGACTTTGAAGAATAATACTCGGAGATATTGTATGATAGGAGATACAATAGAAAATAACAGTATACGTTGATTTCAATTGAAGGGGAAAAACAGAAAAACACATAGGTGGAATTAAACCGACCTGTTGATTTTGACCGAGGTTAAATAACACTAAAGCTATCTGATATATTGATAAAATGAAATTCTCTAACACAAACTCAAATGAAAGACATGAACGCACGGTTTAAACAGTTGAAGTGAACATACATTGACAGATCCCAATAGAGGATTGTGGTTAAGGTCGCTTGACCAATTTAGAGCGGATAGGCCATGGAAATGTTGAAACAATTAGATGGGAACCACACTGAAATCTATGAATGGGAAGCTAAACTTTGTCTTAGACATTGATTCGAATCTTACTTTAATTCCATGGAGCATTTTCAACATTTTCAATATCTTTCTTGATATTTGATATACCGATGCGTGTAGTTTCTGAGAAAAAAAAATCTCTGGTTTACATTGTGCAGAAAATTCAATTTGGTGTCCAGTTGGTGTTACATCTCTAGAGTTCCTTTGAATGGCATACGTGTTATGCAAAGCCTATTCACAATAATAATCGATGTGGTGCTCTTTTCATGAGATACGAGCATATGATTAAACAAAATAATTAAAAAAAAAAAAAAAAATTGTACCTGTGGAGTGAAACGGTGAGCACATTTATTTCTGAATGGCACACAACCGCACAGCACCTGCCTACCTATTAGATTGGCTATTCTCTTTGATTTTGCCGATTATTATTCCTGTCTCGTTTTTCCCTATTTTTATTTCGTCTCACTTACCATCCCTCTTACGCTCTCTATCTGTCCACCCGTCTCTGGCCACGGTCACTTCCGCGGACTGTCTGTGGAATCTACTACACCATAAATTAATAAAGGAGTATTTTTCGCATCAAATTCAACTCAAATGAAAGACTCATCCACCTAATAATATATTTAAAAAAAAAAAAACGGCTTTTATACTATCGAAGGGAAGGACACAAGAAAATCCAAATTCAAATTGAAAACAAAATCTCATTGAATAAAAAAAAATAACATTTATTATATATAAAATAGTTAACATATATAGTTGCCTGAAAAAAGAATTTAGTCAAGAATAAGTATAGGGTGAACTGAGAAAGCTGAAAATGAATCAAACCAAAATTCATGTAAAATTATTTTATCATTTGTTGGTTTGGCTCCGAAATCGTTATGACGCCATAAAAAATGAAGGGAGAGAGAAAAAAAAACGACATTGGGTTAATCAAGAGATTTTTACCAAGTGGATCGATCCAACTAATTTACAAACCATACCTGTGGCTGCTCGCATTGATTTAACAGAATGAAACCAATATTTTTTAATACTTTTTTTCATCTTCTTTATTGCCGTTGGGATAAAAAAAAAAGCACAACAAATCATATAACACCAATCCGATTGCATTCACATTTTTAATAAATTGTCTATTGAAATAGAAAAATAAACAAAAACAAAAATAGCAACAAGAATACATCCACAAAACACAGTGCTAGCAACTTGTATCGAAAGCAATTCAAAGCAAATAAAATAGCAGTGGCTAAGTGAACAAAAAAAAAAGAAGAAAAAGAAATACTGCGCAAAGGCCGAAAACCAACCAAACAACAAATGAGATAAAGCAAATTTTGTTCAAATATCCGATGAAGAGGAAACAGTTAACTTGAGGTTCATTTCTGTTGTGAATTTTAAATGAAATGTTCGAAGGCTTTTATACTCTTATATATTTTATAGAAGTTTTTTTTTCGTTTTATGCTTTGCATAGAAGTTTTTCAAAGGACATTTATTGACATTTGAATTTTGCTAGCTTGTATTTCGTTGAAATTGATATTTTGTTTGTCGTTCTTTGATTTGTAATCATGCGACATGGATATATTTTAATCTAGGAATGTAAGAAACTAAGCGCCATCCGAATAAAAGAAAATGAAAATACACAGACACACACACACACACACACAAGGAAAAAACATGGAAATGTTCCATTCAAATGGAAAATTGAGTCCTATGGGAGAAATTGGAGTGCGAATATTTAACATGATTTTGAGCATGAGCATGAAACTCATTCCCAATAATATCACGATATTTACTGACTGAAATAATCGGTGCAAAGCAGAGTGACACACACATAGATTTTCCCTCCTCATTTTAATTTGTTTCTGCGATAGTCTATTCGCATTCAATATTTACTAGAATGGACATATTTCATTTATTTTGGAGTGTTTCATGTTCGTTGTTATTTCAGTGACAGCCAAATTCTGTTAAACACATTTAAATCATGGTCTTTTGTCAATTAAAATATAAAACTGCATACATCACCATTAGTTAAAGAATTGAAACTTCAATCCAAACAAACGAAAAATGGAGAAAAAAGACATACGGAAATTCAGAAAATAGAAACCCAATATCTCAATACATACCAACCAATTACCAAACTAAGAAGCATGCCGAAACAATGGCAAGCGAATGGAACAGAGAATAAGCACAAGAGTAGAAGACGGTCAACAACCAAGTATTAACTAACGCACATAGTAAATTTTACTTAAGATGTTATTTCATTAATTGAAAAAAATACGGAGAAAAAAAAAAAAAGCAAATGTACAGAAAATTGTAATTATTGTTAAAGAACTTTATTTCTAAATGAGCATCGGACTTCAAATACAGAGAGCCACCATGAGCAAACAACCAACAAATAAATAAACCACAACAACAACAACAACAACAACAACAAACAAAGCAAAAGCATGTGAATAGCAAATAAGCCAGAAAATGAAATATGTAAGGGATTAGAAAGTAAAAAGTGCAGTTTTTTTTTCTGATAAGACAAACCGCTTGGAATCTCCATTCATTAACAAACGACGCTTATACAACAAATGCGAACAACGCACAAACGCGTTCGATCCAACGGAGATCCAGCATCTTTGTGGAATCCTCTAAGTAAAGTTTTCCGTTCAATATGAAGTGAGAAACCGCACAAATCTTACGGGCATAAAGCTCGGTCATTTCCATTCAAGTCATTTCGTTTGAATGTCTTTGAATTTTCCCAATACAAATTCAGAACAAAAAACATATACACAAAAGCCTAACGAAACAATAAACAGACGTGTCGACACCTAACATTGTTGACAAATGTGAATATTATTAATACAAATTTAAAACATACAAAAAGATGATAGACACCATCAATAATCGATTATTTGTACAGCTTGTGGTCAAAGTTCATCTAAGACAGAATAATTCCAAAATTGTTAAATTGTGAACTTGTGTGGAGATGCGACGAATTGTGTGGAGATAGTCTAGAACAGTTCCTAAAAGCATGTGTACTTATAGTAATCATTGCGCGCGCGCACATTTGTAGGCTTACCATTGTATCTGTTTTCGTTTATCTCCACACCACACAACTCAACAAATCTCCGCACAAGTCCATAGTGTTCAACCATACGATTTCTTGGACTAAGGTGACCAACTCCTCCAGAAAAAAAATCCGTACATTTTTCAATTTGTATGGATTTTTCGGTTCAACTGGCAAAAATTGTTTAAAAAATCCGTACAAATCCGTTTAAAGTATTTAGTTCACGAAAAAAATCAGTACTGCACGGATTTTTGGACGAAAAAGCCCAAAAAATCCGTACGGTTGGTCACCTTATCTTAGGCCAAATCGGCTCGCGACACATATTTCTACAATACGAATACATCGATTTAAATACTTAGAAAACCACATGCCAGTGCTAACAGAAAAAAAAAAACTTGACACATAAAATAATTTGCACCTATTTCATAAATCATTATCGATTTGTCTAACCCCCGAAAAACAACAACAACAAATGGCACCAAAACGCAGTACAGTTTTGATTTTGTTTCCCATTTAATTTATATGCTACGTCGAGTAATGAAGGGTAGAAACGTAGATTGTTACCGAAAGAAAGAAGAAAAGAAGACAGAAGGAAAGAGAAAAGAAAAGAGAGATGTTGAAACATTATTATAGTTTAAAGAAATTAATAATTGAATAGAGAGCTATATAAACAATTAATCGACGTAAATTTAGATTATTTGAAGGGTAAAACAATAAATATCTATATGAAAAAAAAAAACGATTTTATATTTACGATGTTAGCTTATTTGTTGATTTTCTTTTCCGTTACATTTGTTTATTTCAATTATTTCACATTTTATTTGTATATTATTTTCATTCGATCATCACCATGCAACCAAAACGTTAAGCAGTAGCAACCGATCAAGAATGAATATTTACTCAGAGTATTAAATTATAACAAGAAGACACAGAAAAAAAAAAACAACAACAACAACAACAACAACCACAACAACAAACATCTGACCGAACAAATGACAGTTAAAACAAATAGTCTTATTATATAGAAAGTACGATTTATTGATAACACAAACAAAAAGAAGAAAAACCATGGTAATATCTACCGACAAAAAACATTATAGTTTATTAAATATTTATAACAAGTTCTTTTTCAGTTTAAGCAATTTTAAAGAAAAATTGTTGGTCACACGAAGCACAACCCAAGTTGAAACGCGATTATGCCCGCAAAAGCAACCAGAACTAAATTGAAAAAAAAAATGGAAATTACCAAGCGTTAAACATTGTTAATAAGCCAGTATATTGCGTACAAATTCGATGTTTCAATAGTGCGATTCCACATTTCATTGTATCGCATCGATATAACTTAAATATTTCATTGATCTAATTTTAAAAAAAATAACAAACAACAAATTATCTCTCTATTCTAAAAATACCAGAGAGAGGGCATTTAATGGTGGAAGCAACTAAATATGAACAACAACAACAACAACAACAACAAAAAAAAAACATGAAATGAAATTTTAAACACAAAACCAGAAAAAAAACTATTCAAAAAAAAATTTAAAAATCGAAAAAAGCTCACTTAAAAGGCAAAAAAATTAAAAACCAATAAATATAAACTTAACAAATTAGTAACAATATGAAGTGTGTGCGAAAGAGGAAATGAGTTTAGAACCGGGCGTACATCCATGGAAAAGATAATTATTGTATTAATGACTAAGTGTAACAACACATGAACACCTAATTAAGAACAAAATAAAAAAAAATCATGAAGTAAAATAACAAAAAAAAAAAAAAACAAAAACAAATACAGTATAGAAGAAAATATATAAATTATATTAAATAGCAGAGTTCGTTTTTCCATCCCGCATGGACAACTGCGATTGCAGTGAGCATTTTGGGCTTGTATTCGAGCCACACTCATACGGGTCACGATATGCGCAAGAACACAATGGTATCTTTTAGTGCATTTTTTCACTGTGATTTCGAGCGCCGTCATCCTGAGCGGTAACCAAAGCGTCATGTTCGTTGTCATCGCTGTAATATTCTGATGCTGCATGCAGAAAGGAACTCTGACAAATAGTGCGAGAATGTGTTACAATAATTTATTTAAAAAAAAATCTGGAAAATATGACCTAAAATGATAATTATTGAAAAGAATTACAACAGCATGGAATAGAAAAAAAACCATAACTAAAAATATACCTTAAATATGTGTTGGTTCGAATTAATGAATTAAAATGTTAGAAAAAAACATGACCTTGAGTTTCATTTTAAAAAATCCACATTCCTTTTTTCAGACATGCTGATTGTTGAGTTTAAAAAAAAAAGAAGTTTCTTCATTTCACATTATATATTGATTGTTGAGCTTCTCTCTCTCTCTCTCTCTCTCTCTCTCTCTCTCTCTAGCAAAATTGACCGATTTTCCTTCGCTCAAGTTTTTGTACTGTAATTAAAGCTTGCGTGACACAGTAATTAAAGGTTCCGATTGTATTTGTATATTGGATCAGAAAACTGGGGAAATTGGGACTTTCCTGCGGATATGAGCGCATAGAGTGACGTCTGTGGTTCCATTGTGTTGGAAAGTGATAAGATATCATCGTTGGCAAATAAGTGTAAATAGATCAAGCAATGTCAGTACTATTATTATTGCCGAGAGCAAACTTGATCTAATTAGTAGCAAATCATTAATCTTGCGTTCACAATACAAGCGATTCCCAAATGAATAAATTATGAGTCAGAACGTAAATACAGAAAGACAAGTTCTTACAACTTCAAGCCTGTATAAACGATGCTCTCTTTACCAAATACTCAAAGAACAAAAGATAACAGACAACGACTACACGACAGCAGGCTTTGCAGTGGTAAGGTTCACGGGCATCGTGCTCTCTATATGCTATAAGTAATTCTGAGTTTTCAAGGCGCGTTTTAATACTTTTCTGTTATTTCATATAGTTGCTGTGTTGCTTTGATTTCGATGTACACAGTGGCAGTGCTGATGCTACAACCACATTGTGCGCTGTACTGCCATTTAAGTTTAATGTGGTGCCAACAAACAATATGGGCATCTCAGACGCTGAACGCATGGTGTTTCATTTCGAGTTCTTTTCTGTTCATTTTCATCCGCATGCACGAAATCACTTGGTACGCTATCACAAAAGTGGAAGAGTAAGAGAGAGAGAGAGAGAGAGAGAGAGAGTAGGGGAGAGAGAATGCGGGCAGAGACGTGAACTACGGACGAAAGAAGAAGGAGGTGGAAAAAATAACCACTTTGACATGTTAAGCAGCCCACTGAAAGTTGGATTATTGAAAAAGTTTATCAAAAATCTTCTTATTATTTTGCACATTGTCGGGAAACAGCAATAACTTATAACTTATTACCATCATGCATCGTCTCCGTTCACAATCTAATAGCATATAGTAGCTACAGCACACTTAAAGCTCCTTTGCTCATTCTCTTCATTAAGTTAAGCCCTTGCCAATTTCTCATCCAGTCGGGTTTGTCGTAGATGTTTCGTTCGCCTGTCAACATCATTGAGGGCACACATTTCCATCGTAGTTTTTAATCTGTTTACCGTTTGTTATTGTGGTTGGGCTCCGTTGTTTTCTAGTTTTACAGAACGGAAATTTTGAAGGGAGCATATGTACGAAACGCTTGCGTACAATATTTCAGTGTTTAGCTACTTTGTCGATGATGACGGTTAAACGAGAGTCCATGCACAAGAGAGCGAAAGTCGTCAAAGTTAGTTGGCAAAGGAAAGTTATTCATTGATTATTTATTTTTCAACTTAATTTGGATCATGTTTCACGCGACAATCGTGCAGCTACTTGCTTAATTATTATTTTTTCATTCAGTTGAGAATTGCAGCACTGCAGCGGCTCTCTCTCTCGCTCTTTCTCTCACGCTTTTTATCGCTCATATTATTGTTAATTTTGTAGTTTTTTTTTTTTTGTTCGGAATTGTTTTGTAACAATGTTCAGTGTTACGAGTTGAAAAACGCAGTTAGTGAACTTCAAACGTTTCTATCAACATTCCAAATTCCAAAGTGAAGAATACGGAAACAATTAGAAGCAATGAACGTGGTGCAATTAGTCAAGATTCCTTTAAGAAAATTGGTGCTGTTGTCCATTGTGTATTTTGACATTCTCTCAGCTGATTCGATTGAGGAGAGTCTGGGCAGTGATTGTGAGTAACGGCTGTAGCTATTTACAGAAATAGACACAAAATTTATTACTCATAGTTTCCTCTTTCCGTGTAGTACTTGTTTTTATTCGTTATCATCCAATCCATAATTATATTCCAATTAGATTAATTGATAAACATTTCAATGTGTTGCAATGGTTTTTTGTATGTGTGTATGTGTGTGTTTTTTTTTTCTCTCTCTCAAATTTTTGTTCAGTAAATCGAACTGTAATCGGTGCATATCGAGCGGCACAGACGAGGCATGAACCAGTGGCAAAGCTTAAGCAAAGCGTACATATCAATAGCACGAACCATGACATGAGCTTCGAAGTTTCGATTTTAGAGCAGCATACGCTGCCGAGAATAGAGCGCAGTGCGTTTACCGTTCGATTGAATTACAATTATTCGGTGGTAGAAAGTGCAGAAAAACCTGCGCGTAATGATTCAAACCATTGGCAACGGCCTGTATTTGCCTCGAATCGAAAATACGAAAAGCTAACATTTGATCCATCAACTTACGTATGCAGTGACAAACAGGCGATTGAGTGCTTGAACAAGACGAAAGAGTTTCGTGCGAAAATTTTAAGTGAATTTGGAAAAACATTGCTCGAACCGATTGATGAATCATCTAACATTTACAATGTGGAATATGAACATCCAGACGACATGGTCAAGTATAATCCGACGTGCATGGTTCTCGATGCCAAGCTACGAATATTGACAAAAAAAGATTCACCGTTCGATACCAATAAAATCGGACGCTTATTTCCAACACGCAAATTGTTTGGCAAGAAATTCATGTCAGTTCAGCGTAGCTGCGTGATTGTATCCAGTGCTGGCTCATTGTTTGAATCTGGGCTTGGAAAATTCATTGGTAAGCCATTGATTTTTGTGTTGTGGCTTCATTTGTTATGCGGTGATGCGATGACTCAGATGAGTTTGATGAGTCAGATGCATTTTACAATCGATTCAAATTCATTGTGGTTACTATCTCCAAAAATATATCTTTTGCTTAATATTTTTCGTATTTTTTTTTAATGGGTTTGTATTTTTCGTGGCCGGAAATCATTCCAAAACATAAACATATAATAGAGACTGACTAATTTCACAAAGGAAAGCGTAGCCGCGGCATCATTACGCGTAATGATTTCATAGAAAGCCCAAAACGTGATAAGAAAGGGAAAAAAAGTATAATTGATCACAATTATGATTTTTGCGAATGTTCGTAGTTTCAATGTCATAAATCAAACGTGTACTTTCTGGATACAACGTGCAAAATAATTGCCTCGTATTAGAACCCCCGACACATTCGATTTTTCTGATTTAGAATGAACTTGCAAATGAAATCAATTTTTTCCCGGTCAAGGGTTAGATTCAATCACAATCACCATTCGCAGCGAACAGAAAAAAAAAAAACATTTTTCTTTTCTTTCATTAATAGGGGTAGTGGGGGCGAATCGTGCCACTGGCGATATCTCGCGACTGGCAGCAAAATATGTCAAAATGAAATTTATCGTGGATCTGTCATATAATCCCGCATATTTCGTTAGTTAAGACTCATAATTTTCATTCACACACAAACGGGAAAATTGACAAATCGGTTTTCGACACATGCTGTTGTGACATTTTGTGACTTTAGGATTTCAAATAACTACAATAAATTTTTATTTTGCCCAAGTGAATGTAAGTGATTTTTACAGCTAATGTCGAGTACTTTCGCGTAGAAATACAAAATTTTGGTTTTTGTATTGAATATTTCGTGACATCGCCTTTGGCAATCGAACATATACCTGGGGGCGAATCGTTCCAAACGAACTTTCAACCCCGAATTGGAGCTGAAGTAAAGGTTATATCAAGTTAAAATATTCACAATATTTATAGGATTTTTTATGGACTTTCCAAATATGAAATCAGTTTCAGGGGTTAAATGGGGATTTTACCCTCTTTTTGCCTTAAATTGAGATTGTTGGCGTTTTTTCCACCTTTTGAGCTCCCCGCGACTCCCTATAGTAAAGATGGCCCCGATTAAGGTGCCATTTGATTTGTCAAAGCGTTCTTAGCATATCATCTGAACACATCATTAGCCCCAACTCACTTTTTTCATGAAAAAATGCATAAATATGCCAAAAACCCTTAATTTCATCCCTTAAAGCTAAAAACCTTCATAATTCACCCACCTAACCAGTTGATATGCTCAAAATTTGTATTTGAGGAGTTTTTAGGATACCCTATCGAACACGAATAGGCATTTGGGATTTGTGAATTGATAGTATAGGATATTCATGGGTGGAACGATTCGCCCCCAAGAAATGGTGATCGGAAAATTGGCCATAAAATTTTCCGAGCAGGTCGCACACCATAAGTATTTTATATCAAAATTTGCGCATTTACAATACCTATTAATTGACACATATTAGGTTGTTCAAAATGCATAACTGGGACGGGGATATTCGGATTTGAAAAAAGTGGAACGATTCGCCCCCACTTCTCCTACTCAATTACTTCTATTTATCCTGCAAACAACAACTTTCTTTTTTTATTGTAATCCTAATTTTGTGTTGGTTTTTCGTTGGATTTGGTGGTTTTATTGCGATTCCCTTTTCAAAATGATACTCTGCTACGAATCTTTCGATTCGTATCATCTGACGTATGCGACGCAATACTACCTCTGTTCATCCGTATAGAACGAGTTTGAGATAAACGGTCACGTAGCTCAGCGACGCTTTCGAAAAGTGGCCAATAGTGGGCGAGTGACTCGAATCAATTTTATGCTGAAAAGATAAAATTCGTCGCCTAGCGAATAATATGCGCGTCAAAGAGAAAGACGTATCCGTCCAACTACATCTGTTTGTCGGCATTGTAAAAAACGAGTCTAATATATATCTTTCTTTTATCTACTTTTGTATATGTAATTTGTTGGGTGTCATGACTTTGCACCACACACTTGGTACGAAATAAATAAATCAAACATTCAACGTATATAGACAACCACGATATTGTGCTACGGTTCAACCATGCGCCAACTAAAGGTCACGAAAAAGACGTCGGTAGCAAGACAACTATACGCGTAGTCAATTCACAAGTGAGTATTGGTTTCATCATCAATTTTATTACCCACATTTTAATCAACCGCAAATCATCAATTGCGTGAATAAACTAATGGACGTTCATACATTTGGCAGGTGGTTAGCAAAAGAGAGTTTAATTTCGTCGAATCACCAATATTTGAAAATGTCTCGATTGCGGCATGGGATCCAGGGAAATTCAATGGAACACTACATGATTGGTAATATCATACTATATTTATTCCAACAACGAAAGAGAAATTTAAATCATAATCCTACAAATGAAAACAGGATTTCCAAACCAGACTTTCAACTATTTAAAAACTATAAGCGATTCATGAAACGCCGACCCGACGCCAAGTTCTACCTTTTGGATCCTCGTTCAATATGGAATCTATGGAAAGCACTGCATATTTACACGGGACTTAAAATTCGACAGAATCCTCCATCATCCGGATTCATTGGTCTGTTTCAACCGCTGTGAAATTAATCATATGATCATTTCGCACGAATGATTTTTAAAAAATTGTCTACAGAAAAGAACACACACTAAGTTTGAATTAAACTAGCTCCATCTAAAGTGGTCCACCGAACATAGAAAAAAGAGTTAAATAATAATCGAAATCAACTACACATGTTTGCGAAATTTGAGTGAGATTTTATTGGATTTTATGAATGTTTTTCCTACGAACAAACGAATGAACGAACGTATTAGTTTGTAAATGATCGTAGAATGTTCGGTTGAGCACTCTAGCTTCTTCATGTTTGTGGGAGTAATTGAAAAAAATGTCTATTCATTGATTATATTTGTAGGTCTTGCATTGCTGTTGCCGCACTGTGGTAACATCGACATTGTGGAATATATGCCATCAACCAGACTGACTTCACGCTGTCACTACTATGACTCAGAGGTATTTGACAAAAAAAGAAATGAGCAATGTGTGCTATCAATGTCATGAATAATTCTAAATCACATGTTTTCTTCTCATTAGATGAATTCGGCATGCACATTCGGAACATGGCATCCACTGGCTGCAGAAAAGCTCATGACCTATGACATGAACAGTGCAAATGATTTTGCAACATTTCAAAATGGCGTTATCAGAATTCGAAAGCCAAAAAATAACGGATGTAATTGATGCACAAATTGAATTTTTAAAATTCTTCTTAGTAATAAACGTTAAGGTTCACATAAATTTCAGACAATTCACAAACGCAACGATTACAATTGAAAATAAATCGATTTGAACACTGTTCAATAATAAATAACAAGTGAATTTGAGCGAAATAATAATTGCGTCTTGCAAGCAAATATGATAATAATTGCAAATAATTTTATTCCAACGGAATAGATCTTAGACAGAACATTAATTTGATGAAAGGCATCCAATCCAATGTTCAGAGTTCGTGAGTTAAGGAAACACACGAATGCAATATGCCAAGTCGTGTATCGGCTCATGCTTTCAAATGAATCGATCGATATCAAAGCTATCGCTCATTTAAATTGTTAAACTGTCTGAATTAATTGGAATGAATTGAAAATGAGATATAATTGATCAGCGGTGCAGCGTATTGACGTTTAATCAAATGGAGATCGATCGCACCGGCACAGCTCAAATCAACAGTTGTGTACACCAATCTTACAATTTGCACATGGATTTGAATAAGTAATATGTTATTGACTGTCATTCGACAGTTCGTGTACTGCGACGTTTTCAATTGCATTTTAGCTGTGATCTGATTTGTGAGCGATTTCGTGCATCGATCGAATTGTATCACGATAGTATTCGTCATTCAAGTTTTTTTTTTTTCTTTTTTACTGCATTTCGTCAAATCCCATGACTGTGCGAACGCAAAATATTCATGAATTTCAGGCGGTGAGTCATCTAAATGGTAAAAGTTTTTTTACGCCATCACATATGAATATTGTATAAATATTTTATCGTCTTTTAATCGGAATTATTAAAACAGAAAAAAAAAACACAAGTTGAGGGACTTTCTTGGCCGTTATCGTTTAAATGTTTTAGTTCATTTGTTTACTAAACAAAATCCATAAATTTAATTTCAACAATTGAATTTCGGCAATGCTATTGTGTCATGTAGTTTTGTGGTCGATTCCTTGTAAGTATATCCGTACCACCGGAAATCTTGTGTGTGTTTTTTTAGCCTAATCCAAAAAAAAAAAACAAAAATAAATATTGCACTTTATGTTCTATTCATAGAACGATAATTTTAATGTTATTTGCTTTGTGTACACGAGCGCGGAGTAATGACGTCATCGTTTCGACGATGGTAAAAACCGATAGCCCCAATATATACGTAATCGTTATAACTAACGTTTTTACTTTTGAAAATGTTACGTGTCGATATGATTCGCGTAGAATTTCGACTTCGAAAACGAACTGGTGGTCATCGCGTAAAATGTGAGATTTCTTTTGTTTTAATATGTTTATGTTTGTCGCTTGGCCATTGTTCATTCTTGTTGCCAGTGTACGCGTGAATATCGAGCATTAAACACTCCGTTCAACGCCAGAACGCCGACACACGTCACCAATCAAGGGAAGGAAGGATAAGAAAGAGACAAGCATACAAAAATGTTGACTCTTTTCGTCATTAAAGCCGCCGCCGCCGCCGCCGCATCGTACCAATGCTACTACTAACGCTGTGTGTACGTATATTTTTTTTCGTTACTATTGTTGCTGCTGTTGCTATTTTGTTCCTCTGTCGACTGTATTTGTATTTCTGTCTTTCATTTGTTTCCGTGATTCTGTTCGTTTCGCTCGTTCGCTGTATGGAGCAGTGGCACGCAACGCACGACGGTCACACAGAATTTACAATAAAAGTGTTTTCGTTTTGCCTGAGGTGATTAGTCGCGATCCCGCAATCGACTATAACGTATCACATACACTAGCGTTTGAAAGCGTTCCGTTCCTCATTGACAGGAAAAATAAAAAAAAAAAGGAATATTTATAGATAATCAAATATTCAAACGAATCCATTGATTTGAAGAATTAACAAAAAAGTAATCGCGATTTGTTACGATTGTTGTTTGTTTTTACTATCGAGTTAATTTAGTTTAGTTGAATATCGATATCGAAAGCGAGGAAACGACCAATTTACGGAAAAATTATCGAGAAAATATCGTGTGTGTTGAATTCTATAAGCAGAGAAGCAAAACAAAGGAATACACGCTCATCAATCACATATATCTGCGATAACCAAAAGGAATAATTCAGTTCGTTTTTTTAAACCATTATGAGATAGAGAGAGAGAGAAAAAGAGAAAAAGTAAATAGTTAAATAAATCTTGTGGCGAGAAAATCGAATTGAGAAATTCAGTATATTTATATATAAATCAACGAAATTTGAATTTGCGTAAAAGAAAATAATTGTGATTAGCAAAGTCAAGCGAAAAGTGTATGTGAAATCTATTTAAAGTTGACTAAGACAAGAGAATTACTGAAACGTGCAACAATTGTGGTTTTGTTGGACCAATTGACGTTTTATAGAATTTCTTTTATGTTCTTTTTTTTTACTTTCATCGAATTCAACTGTAATTGACGAATCTTAATTAGGTAAGTCGATTGAAGATCCACTTCAATCCATAGATCATTTAACGTTAATCTAGAGCCTGTGCAGTGTTAGTAAGTCATGCAGTTCCAAGTGTCGCACAAATCAATTCAAAATATGTGTCAACTGTAGACGTTTGCTAATCATCTACTCCACAATGCTAAGCGACTTCTTTGTGGTGTTTTTTTTTTTTCATGGATTTTATTAATCAATTCCAATGTTTCAGCTACTATTCCTGATTGGAGCATTGTTGTTCGGCTGCATTTTCTATAATCCTTATTTAGCTCACAAACACTTGATAAATTCATTCCTTCTATCGAATTTTTTTGCGCGTCATTGTATGATTAATTGTTCAACAAATCATTCACAATGATCACAAATTCTGTAAATGTTCAAATTCAGCTGATGGCTATACGTTATTAAAACAAAAAGTTAATAATGTTTGTTATTAAGATAGCGAAAACGGCAAATCTGTATACGAAAAAATTTAGCTATAATATATATTATTGGCGAATTCTTCGAAGAGAAAACATTCTATCAGAGATGACTTACACGTATCAATTAAACAAGTCTTAATTGTGTACAGTCAGTTCTGGTTCTTGGTTTTTGTTCATTCTATATTTCACGTGGCATTCGAATAAAGATACTGACGCACTTTCTCGCTATATACACACAAACATTAATATGTTCTAATAAATGATGATGAGTCAAAATAAAACAAGTATTTGTAGTTGCAATGATCCGTTTTGCCAATTGCACTTGAAATGTGCGCACGTAATGATAGCACAAATGTGACTAGTTTCTTTTGTTTCGCTAAGCATGTCGTTTACTATATCTTCTTATCTCTGTCTTTGATTCTCTCACTCTCTTTCTTTCTCCTTCTTCTTCATTCGCTACCGGCATTCAATGCAATCGCAATGTGTTGTTTCAATTCCGGAGCACTGAGTACAGATCACTTTTTTCCAGTGATAGCCCTTTGTTCCTTTTCGTATTTTCCCATTCATATTTTTAGAATTGTTTTACTGATAATACTGACAATTAATTTGCTCGTCGCTGCCATCACCGAAGTGCGCATCGCAATGTGCGTAACGTTTTTGCCTCTTAACTATAAATGACTGTATATTTCTGTTTCTACCATACATAAATTGAATGTACAAAGCATATTGCACATTTAATCGATTCCACTTAATACGCCTTACACTATCCCAGACGCTAATTTATCACATTGTGCGTAGACTGACTACACTCGTTTTGCCATTTTAGTCATAAATCTAAAAAATCTTCATCAGTTTTTTCTGCTACTGTTTTGATGGAATTTCATGGAATAATGACGCTCTCTGTTGAATAACGTCAAAATCATTTGAATAGCATTCTATACACAGTACGGGATGTTATAAAAATGCAAAAAAAAAAAAAAATGTGTAAAAAGGCCAGATATTTGAACATAAATCATGGACACGAAATGACTATTACGTAATTAGAGTAACATTCACTATCTTCAGATTCGTGTTATCGTTCTTTTATCATTGACAAAACTGTTTGCGAACGCATGCTTGAGTCATCATGGATTGAAAACAACTACAAGTGTCACAACATTGCTCACGCCTGTCATGCCGAAAAAAAAATATGATGTCGTTTTCTTTGCATTTTCTACATATATGTTTATTTTACGACATCCATTTATTTATTTTTTGAAATTCACCCGCATACAATGTTCTATCTTCCACGAAGCATTTATTCATTCACTTCAATAATGTTTCACTTATTCGTTTTTTTTCCCCATTGGTCATTAAAATTAAATTGATAAAAATTGATTATAGTAATTACCTATGGAGCTGAATCATAGAAATGAATGTATGACAAACAAATGTATATTCGAAATTATTTGCTTGTAAGCTATGTGTCGTGTTTGTATTATTAGCGAGCGGCAGAGCATTTTTATCATTTTGGTTTTTCATTGACAGCAATCCCTTTTCTTTTTCGGTCAATATCATCAAACCTGAAATATCTGCCACATCAATCACATTTCAGAAATTCATTTTTTTTTTCTCGTTTCGAATCGTCGACTAAGGAATAAACGGTTGATGTACGTTCAATTGTTCACACATTGAATTTTCGCTTGTGATTCTCTCTCTTTAATAAAAATCGAAAGTTAACTGGCAACAAAATAACATCAATGGCACACAAACGTTTGCGAATTTCACGGCTTAATGAGCAACGATTGCTCGATAGACATAAATAATAGAAACGTAATTTTGTTCTGATGACTATGTGTTTTCTTTGCTTCCGAATACTTTGCTTTTACATAAATTTTCATTTGCGGTTTCCACTTTTTACCCACAAACAGAAGAGTGAAAATGTCGGCGAAATTTTTCGCTTCGCTGAATGATTACTCTCATTTTTGTTATTTGTTTTTTTTTTTTTTTCCTTTTCACATTAATATTATTGTTTACACTCATTTCGATCACCTGGCAACCGATCAAAACTATTTGTATTCAGAACAATACGTGTGAAATGGTCATTGAAAAACAAATGCAACTGATAAATTGCAGAAAATCAAGCATCTGATGGGATGGCTCTGATGGATGTGTATTCAACTCTGCAAATAAATGACAATACAAATGGGCACTTTTAATGATAATTATTTACATTACACAGAACTACGGTTTATAGTATTGTCATAACAGCAAGTCAAGCGTATCATGAACATCATGTACATAAAAACATCTCTGTACGCCTTCGATGTACAGTGGAAATGAAATGTTCACGACCCATAAGAGATAGAGAGAAAGAGAGAAAAAAGAGAACAATTAGTCAAAATGTGTATTGTGTCCAAGGGTTTGGCGAGCAAAAATCGTCAAAATTCAATGGCTAGTGTTGCTCACTTCAACCACAGCTGATTGTCATTCGGTCAATTCAATGATTATCGATGGATTTTTGTGCACTTGCGAATTTCAATTGCCGATCTATGCGTTATTTTTTTTTTATGTACATGTATATATATATATTTCTTTCATTATTATTTCTGAACTTGTAGTTACTCCATTGTGTCCGTGTATTATTTTCATTGTTCACGCGGAGCTTACACACATTTATATGCGAGCATGTGTACGGAGCGACGAGGTTACAAATTGACAAATTTATATACTCTGCGAATCTGTGAATAGCATAGATAAACACTGTTTGACATTTTCAGCTTGCTGAAAGTGAAAAAAAAAAAAAAATAACTAACGCATATCATGGTAGAATGAACGAAAGAAAAAGACTACAAAAAAAACGTAAGCAACAAATGACACAAAAACCGTATGACACAGCCATTTAATGATAGCGTAAAATTTATTTTCGATTTTTGTTCCAAGATAATTTTTGCAAATGTGTATAATGAACGTAGAACGAACCGACAACGACGATCCAAAACACGAGGCAAATCGATTGTGGATTTGTAGCTTGTGGCATTGACTTGAGTGCGTCACTTGGTACACAATTCCATCGATGCACCTAACCGAAATGAAAACGAAAAATATGACTTTTACGCACATTTTTTGGATCAAAAGAAGTAGACGAGAGTAAGTCTATTTGACAGCATACTTCATTGCTATTGCCGTTGTTGTTGTTGCTACTGACATTCGCCCATCACAACGGTGATTGCAACATAACTACTTTAATAGTTCAATGTCAATAGCTATGTGTCGATAAATGCATGCGTGCAGTTATTGCATTATGCATAGTCGCGACTGGAGCGACCAATATTTTCCGAAATACGTTTCGTCTTTATTTGTTACGGCATCTGTTTAGTATTCATGCTCTTTCTGATATTGTCTTTTTTTTTTTTTGGTTTATTTGTTTGCAAATTTCATGCTGTATGTGTGTTGGCATTGGACATGGTCAGTGGTGGTCAAAGAACAAAAAATCAACTACAAGCCACACAAATAATTTTACCGTTGAACGTGTAAGCTTATTAGAGCCGTTTTTTACGCTTTGTCAAACCGATTTTTATCGCAATAGTTAGCAACCAAAATCACAATCACACGCAATTCTAAAAATTCAGATTGAAAAATCTGATCGATGGAGACTATAAGAAAGAAAAAAAAAAACACTCAAAATATTTACACGCTCTTACGCGTTTACACATTTCTATATCGATGACAAATTACAAATTCAATATATTTTTTTCTGTTTTCAATTCGATCGTATATATATTCGCCGGTATTATATCAGACGAATAAATTGTGAACAAAATTGTTGAATCGAACATCGATTGGCTCATTACAACTGTGAACAACAAAATACAAATCGTGTTTGTGGCATGTGCCTGTACGTATTATTATGTGATCATTGGTTTTCATTAGTTAGGAAATCGATGCCATGTGCCATACTTATTCACAATGCGAGTGGAGGCAGTATAGGAGAAAAAAAAAAAAACAATGCGCGAGAAAATAGCAGCTATTGCAATAGCACAGATAGTTTAATGTGATTGAAATGGAAAATTGAGTTATTAATCTGCATGGTGAAGTGAGTTTGGTATGCTAACCACGACCGCTAAATACTCTCAGACACACGGTTGAGACCTGAAACAATAATTTTTGACTGGGCCACACAAACTTTATTCGTATATACTCGACTGTATCAAATGTAACATGTTTGCGTCTAATTTATATGCGTTACTCTCAAAGCATACATTTCTTTGTTTTCTTCTCTCTGCTTGTTTTATCTCTATGCGTAATGTAGGTCTTCTGATTTACGATGACGGTGAAAATAGGAAGAGAAGAAAAGAAATGAAAAGAAAGAGAAAAAGAACAATTCACGTGTCACATTGGCAACATGTAAATGTTATATGAAATTACAAATCATACCGTTTGTGTGATGCTGTTTATGATCTTTACATTGAATTTAAAGGTTAATAATACGCGCGATGAAGCAAAGTGTGCTCTTTCTTCGCTTGTTATATGTTTTTATGTTTAGTTTTTTCCTTCCTTCGATTCTACCTTTGTTGTTGTTGTTGTTGTTGTTGTTGTTTACATTGCTCACTTTCCATCTCATTTCCTCGCCATAGTCAAATCTTTTTACTGAATTCATTTCAATTGCTGCCGTTATTACCGTATGATTGGTCGTGTGGTGCTGCTATTTGATCGCTAGTTGCATTGTTTGTCTGCCTATTCTGTTCGAGCACGACGCGCGGCTGTTTCATCACGTAATTCAAATACTAGAGCTGGCAGACGGCTTCTTTATTTGTATACATTTCAATATATTCGCAACTGATTTTTAATGTTTAATTGAAACTGGTTTTATCGTGTCGTAGTTTGCTTTGCAAATGAAAAAAAAAAATCCAAAGCACGTTGAAAAAAAAAATCATTCATTCCGAAGGTAAAGGTTCGAAGCATTCCTAATAAAATATATTGTGCTAGCAGTAGAACGAAATCGGCACGAGATGCGTTCGAATATAATTGTATTTGTTTTCTGTTTTCTCTCGTTTTTTCACTACGGGCACATTCTAGCTAATAGCAATTCATTATCGAAATGAAAATTAATTTGTCTATTCGTGTTGGTTGTTTTTTTTTTTTTATTCTCTGTTTTCAATAGCTCAATTTGCACAAAACCTACAAAGTTTAGAGAAGTTTGATCTTGATAGCCCGATATGTACGTATATTGAAATGGTGAATTTTCCATGTTAGTCTCAATTGGAAAGTCTAAAAAATTTCTTAAACGAAATTGTGAGCAATCGACTAAAATCATATGTATCGGACTAGAATAAGCGACAAAAAACGGTTCAATCTCGATAAACATATATGCGATAACATGCATCCTTATCTATGAAATCATTACAAACCTCTCGAATTCACACACAGCGACACAGCGGCATAGTGTTGTATTGACTAAATAAGTAAACATGCTGTGTAAATTGTATGGTAATCGCACCGTACATGCCGTAGATAAACCCTTATCATGCTATTATTGCTATTGAATCATTGGTGTTTGCTTAAATTTTCATACCTAAAAAATATTTCATTCATCGATAGTCTTCACATTCAATTCGTGAAGAGTTTGCCTTGGAGTCATACTTTTTTCTAATCAGTATTCTCAGTCATGGTGGTCATTCGCATATAAATCTTATGTATAATTTTTGTTTTCATAATTTTCGTTGGTAATTATCCGTAGAAGCCCTTTAAAAACTCATGCTGTGTTTTATACTAACGGATTGCGGTTCAATTTTGATAAATCAATTCAAATTTGGAACAAATGTAGAACAGAAAAAAATACATTGGCTGAAATCAATTTGGTTTGGCGTTCGATAAATCGAAACCTATCATTTTCAACGAAATTTCTGCTGTGGCGCAACGGAAATAGGTCACACAAAATAACAATAAATGAATGAGAAAGAAAAACATACTTGCACAATTATACACACAATGTACGTTCATATATTGTTCTGTCATATTTACTTTTTCTATATCATAGTGTAAATTCACTGCGCAGATACAGATAACGCTCGAAATGATTCAAGGATATGTCGATTTTTCGTTCATATTTCTTATACCATGAATTAATTATGCATACTCAGATTTTTTTTATGTTTAACGCGGATCAATAAATAGTCCCAAAATATTATTTTGAGGCAGGTCACACAAATGCCAACTGATGTGAAATGATTAGATATAAACTTGGAACGCATGTTTACTGTTCAATTCACTTTGTGAGCTATCAATTGAAATTTTTTTCTCTCATTGTTCCTCTTTCTGCATTCGCATTTCTGATCGGTAATACATTTAAAATGTTTCTCTTTCTTTCTCCTTATGTTTTAGTATTTTATAACTTATTCACTAGACGAATGATAAAATGATTCAAATTAATGCATTAGTTCTACTGAGAATCGCCGTTATCGCGATAATTGCAATTCTACCAACGACTGGCGCACCTGTACAGACGACAACACAAGCTGAGGTGAGTTGATTTCGTTTTTATTGCCAATTACACACAGAAAAAACACAGAATGATATCAACAGAAATCTCCATAAAAAATATGACGTAGAAACTAGCGCTAAATCACGACGTGTTTCGCTACCATATGAACATATTATTGTAAATACAATGGTAGATCCAGGTCGCTAGGTAGCGCTAGTTATGCACATTGCCGTACTGATTTGATTGATCTTACTGTGTTGTTTTTTATTCTCTTTTTTCTGTGTGTACACAAGCAAATGAATTATGAATATATGTGATTGGTTTTTTTATTTTTATCTTTTATCTTTCAACTTTACCTTTTTTTCGCAAATGATGAGGCTGTAAAATTGAATAAACAGAAAAGAAAAATAATCGTTATAACGGTACACAAGAGAATTGGCAAAGTTTTGTGGAAAAAAGCCGGCTTCTCTGTAATGAACAGCAGCCAAAAATGTATAAGCCCAATAATGCGAACAATTTATTCAAACTTACAAATGATATGCGTGAATGGATGTGAATTTATCGATATAAATTGAGAAAAAGTGGAATTCACGACAACGTTAAACGTAAATTCCACGAACGAATATCAACATTGTAATAAAGTGTAGCCGCAAAATGAATATGTGACTCATCCAGCACAAAGATGCTAATAAAGTGGACACAACTGGATTCTCTCTCTCTCTCTCTCTCTCTCTCTCTCTCTCTCTCTCTCTCTCTCTCTCT